AAAAAGAAAGGGTAGCAACCAAACTCTAGTTTCCCCAAATGCTGTCGATACTTGCTTTGCGTTGGCAGCCCACCAAGCAACCAACAAACCAAACAACCAAAGCCACACCACCCTGTGTTTTCCCCAAAGGCTGTCGATGTTTGGTTTGCAGCCAACCAACCAACATACCAAGCAAAGGAAGGAGGGTGAAAAAGAAAGGGTCGAGGGTCAAAACAGAAAGGGTAGAGGGTGAAAAAAAAGGTTCGAGGGTGAAAAAAAAAGGTTCAGAGGGTGAAAAAGAAAGGTGGAGGGTGGAAAAAAAGGGTGGGGTGAAAAAAAAAGGGTTGAAGGGTGAAAAAAAAAGGTTGCCCAATTTCATAAGTCTTTGAAACTTTGTCACTCCCAGTAGCCCCAGCGAGTTGTCGGTTCTGCGACAAGGCCCGGAGGATGGTGGAAGTGGCCATGGAGGGAGAGAATGCAAAGAAGCACGTCCCCTGAAAACGAAGACGCAGAAGATGTTTGGCCAGCACAAAGCCCACAAAGCCTGAGCACCTACCATGTGCTGAGGAAGAATCGTAAGAGGAACATCGTCAACAAGCGCTGCAATGTGCACCTTGTTAGGCCACACTATCTTTCCTTGAGTGGCTCGCAACAATCCTTAAACTTAAAGGCTAGCAGCTTGACCTTAAGACCTCAGGTCTGGGTTCTTTTCTTTTCTTTCCATTAGCTTGATTCCGCAGCAGAAGCTTAGCTGAGCTTTGGTCTCCGGCTAGCCAGATGATTGCAGGCAGAGGATGGATGAGGAACTTGCAGCCCAGGTGGGATTCTCCTGTATTGTTTGGGACTTTTTGCATGTTTCCTTGCACATGTTATTATTTTGAAGGAGCGTGGTCCTCGATATGTCAACAACGTGGCCGTCTTTGTAAAGAAGGGCCAGAAAGATATTGATGCCAATGAGCCGACCTGCCCTGCTTGTTGGAATTGGTAGAGTGCTTCAACTGCAGATCTGACACATTCAGGGCAGAAGTTTTGGTTAAGAAGGATGTGGGCGCCTTATGGTCTTGTGCGGCCGAACCAGTTTCTAATAGCTTCTTGTTACTACTAGTAAGGCACTTGTTACTAGTAGCGATGCACTTGTTACTAGAAGCGAGGCACTTGTTCCTACTAGCTACGAGGAAAAAGAAAAGGCGAAGAAAGCCAAGGAGAAAGAGGACAAGCAGAAGGTTCGTGATTGACACTGAAACCTACAGTAGGAAGCTATGCAATGAAGTTTTGCAAACTTGTTCAGCAAAGAAGTTGTTCAGAGCAAGCAAAACAATCTCTGAGACATGGCGAAACGATGCAAAACGTATTGTCACCTCCTGAAGGCATCTGGCTGACCGTTTGGTGTGTGCTCGAGTTCCGGGCCACCAGCCTGCTGCTTTGATCGTTTCACTTCTAGAAGGGCAACGAGCCCCACAAAGGTTTCGGACGCATAGAATGGCAAAAGCACATGTTTTGGCGTGTCACCTGTGTGCGGTCTTCTCCCTGTGTGATTGTTGGGTTACGTTGCCGTTGCCTGCGTACCCTGTGCTTTGTGCTCAAGTTCACACCGTATCTCCATACACAAACATGCTGAAACTGAAGTGGAGCAAGAGAGTTCAAGCAATGTTTCGGTAGCTCTTTGCAGGACTGACCTCCTACCAACAAAGTTGATACCAAGCCTGCCCGATCTCGGGATTGAAACTTCAAGCCAGAACGTAGCAAGACCAAAGTTTTCAGGATTACAATTAGGTTAGAGGCCATTGCTATTATATATATAGGTGTTTTTGAAAACTTGTGAAACGTCGTTTCACTGCGTCTTTGTTTCGAGCGTCCGCTCGGCGCATTGGATCTTCTTCCCTATGGGAACCGGGACTTTGCTGGAAGGCCAGTCAGATTGAGACATGCCAAGCTCATCTCCTGAATAGCTTAGATCAAGTTGGTCAAACAAACGCTGATCCATGCTCCTGAGATTTCTTTCGCAACAGAACTGTTTCGTTCCAATATTTTCTGATTTGTCATTTTTCTTCTGCGGACCGATGTTCAGTGCGAGGTCATGCCTCGCAGCGCTGTCTTGTTACTTTCTCGGTGTTGGCATGAGCATCTTGGTGTTGAACCGGTGTTGGCTGGAATCTGAGGCGGTGGCCAGGAGGTGGTCACAAAGAGTCCTCGCCTGAAGTCGATGTTTGAGTCACCTGACCACAGAAATCGAATATGTAAGGACGGTGAGCTTAGACCTGCTTTCACTGCAAGAAGAGGTGCAGACTTTGCGTGAGGCCCGAAATTGGTCATGTTGAGGCTTCACTTCATGATTGCTTCACATTTTCAGCATGTCGATGGAATGTTGGAGTGAGGAAGCAGATGACGCTGCCGAAAACATTGTCTTTGCGCGCCGGTCTGCCAAGTTTCTCGAGGCTGCAAAACAGACCGGTTTCTCGTCAATGGAACTGCCACGTTCGCAGGAGCAAGAGCAAGCGGCTGTGTTGCGGCTTCAGCAGCATGCAACAGAAGAAGCTGCTCTTTCAAGATGTGTGGAGGACCATGGTGTTGTCAGTTTCCCATTTCATTCTGCTTGGGAATGTTCGGCCCGGGAGAGAAAGCAGTATTGATGTGCTGGTAGTTGTACAGGAGGGAGATCTTTCAAATTCAGCTTCCATCCCTGAAAGGTTTGCTGTTTTGATAGACTCTGTTTTGGAAGTTGCAGGCCCTTTTGCCAAAATTGGAATGCATCAATGAACACACCCTCGACAAACAATTTTGAAACAACTCATATTAAATATGACTCATATGACTCACATATGTATAATACACATATCGAAGTAGTGACGCCAGGTTTTGACTGACTGTAGCTCGGTTCAAATTTCGAGCTCTGATGGCTTCCCGCCGTTGGCGGAAGCCGGAGGAAGATGTGGCTGTCGGGCGGGGGCGAGGGAGCGCGGGTGGGCAGAATGGACTGCTGGGTCTTGCTGCGGCCTATAGCCAGGGAACGAGAGCTGCATTTATGGAGCGCTATATGGCTGATTTGAAGCGTTTGGCAGATCGAAACGACCTCCCAGAAGGAGCCAGGTGGTTTGATTCCCACTGCCATTTGGAGCCTTGGAGAGATTTTGTAGTTGCATAAATATGTTGGGCTTCTTCACATTTTGGACATTTTATGAGTTATAAGTCTTATATAATTGGTTGAGAATCAGGACAGACATCAGACAAGTGACATCATGCAAGGGAGAACTTCAGGAGAGCATCCTACAGCGCAGCTGGCGCGGCGGTGGCAAGCCGCAGGTCACAGAGAATGAACCGCAAGTGAACTTGGAAGAGATGGTCTCCCTTTGGCCCAAAGGACTTGATGGCTGTGTCTCCAATTTTGCCTTCCGGCGAGAAAGTGCTTCGCCTCTGATTTTGGATTAGTCGCACTTGGCACACCATTGTCATAGACAGCTGCTAGGGCGGATGATGATGCCTGTGGCCAAGTAGGTCTTTCTCAAAACGCCGAGGTAAGCCTGGAGTCCCCGCAGAATGGATCTGGATCGACCGGCACTTGCATTTCTTTGAACCCGACAGCCCCATTGCGGGCAAGAGACTTGGCCCGGTATTTGATCAACCCCTTTGCGAGTTTTCATTGAGGGCCTGGGTGGAATACTTGAACCTGAAGAAAGAATGATAACAACTGTCAGACTGGCCGAGGCTTTGGTTTACAATTGGCTTGGTGCTTATTCACGATGTTAGGGTCAACCAGTACCATCAGTAGGGTTCATGGCGAAGCAGTCAGACAGGAACATGTTGCAAAGCCTTGCATTGAAATTCTTCAATCACAAAGTGATCACTTGTCTCCTCGCTCATTGCTTGAGGTCTTCATCCACATGATGCTGGAAATTGGGATGCTTCTGCAGAGCAAACCGTGCGACGTTTAGCTGCACATCCCAAATGCGTAGGCAGGTGTTTTTGAACCACTACAATCTATGTACTATTGCACACGTTGCATGTTTCTGTATTGATTTCACAGGTCTCATTTCTCTGCACATTGATCAGAGAAGCTGCTTTTTAAGCCATTCGATTCGCTGAGAGGCATTGGAGAGTGTGGACTCGACTTCTTCAAGCATGATCGGAGTGAGGCACTCCTTTCCGAGCACAACTTCATAAAGCCTCCAAGCACAACTTGTACTGAACACGCGCAGAAACCATCGACGATGTGTCCCGACCATTCGACGAAGTCAAAACAGGTTTGGATTGAGATGACTTGACCAGACTCCCACTGCTCTTACAGTCTTTGGAAAGGCCGAGCTGCAGCTTCGTACCTTCCGAGCCCAAGCCATGCTGGCGGTGGAGCTCGGCAAGGCTTCAAACATATGTTTTTTTTGGGGGGCATGACGACACAAGCGCAGCTTACCAGGTAGATGTTGCTGGACAGGGGTTCGTCTGTACACGCGGAAATCGGATCGTCTGTACACGCGGTGACGGGGATCGTCTGTACACGCGGGGATCGTATGTACACGCGGCTTCCGTATGCGGGGTGCCTAAACAGTGGCCATACTTTGGGTTCTTACGGTAGGTGCAAAGGCCGGGTGTTGATCCAGGGTGCTCAGATGTGTGTGAGCCCCACCCCTCCCCACCCCAACCCCACCCCACCCCACCACCGCACCCTTACTTCAACATTGGGATATTAGATTCATTAGATATGAATGCTACTCGAAGTGAACATCACTAGCCCCACCCCACCCTACCGCACCCCACCCGATGTGCCCTGTGTGCGCAGATGATCCAGATCTGTGTGCGCAGATGATCTTGGCTGTGTGCGCAGATGATCCTGATCTGTGTGCGCAGATGATCCCCTGTCTGATGTTGCTTGTCAACCAAACTGTTTATCAAAAACGGGAATCGCCTTTGCCTTTGAGTGCAGCTGCAGAGGCCTTGGTGATTCATGCACGACTTACCACCCAACAGAACGAGGAGATGTTCTTGCAGGAGCTGAAGCGGCAACGTGGTAGCATTGATTGTTCGGAGCGTGCGCACTTTCATTTTTGGTATGGGCTACAGTAGCTACGGGCATGTGGGGCTGGTTGCGGCCCAGGATTGTTCCTCAAACGCATCCAATTCACATTCACTGCTTCAGCGACTCCCTAGCATACGCGGAGGAGCAACCTCGAGACTAAAGCTTGACGCACTGTTTTCCCAAGTTGCAATGAAGACACGCATGATGCACTATTAAGATCCAAGATGCGACATTTTGCCCTGTACTCTTTTAAGTGAATTTGCACCCCAGGAGTTGATGGCGCATTGGCAAAACCTGCGAATTGGTTTCACCGGTGCTATCACGTTTCGTGATTCTGAACGTGGCAGTTGACTCAGCCAGGGCTTCCCACTTTCGGTTGGCTTGTCCGATCGGACCAGTGTCATAGACTTGTCCAGGAAAGGGTGGAAAGAGCAAGGGGAAAGCGAAAGTGAAGAAGGGAGAGGACTGGGTGGATAGATCCCAGGATTCCGGTTGTGTGTCTGTATCATATTTGGTCGTCGTGGTATTTCTTTGCGCCGTGTTACATTTTTGGCTTCGAATTGGTACTAGCATCGGACTATGCGAGTGCACTAGTGTGGCTTTAGAGGGGTAGTAAGCTAGTGCTATATATTCAAACATTGTTTACTCACGGATTTTCTTCAGCTCTTCAGATGCGGTCTGGTCCTCTAAACGGCGATGTCTTTGCAGGAACATTGCAGGGAGCTTGTGCAAGGTTTGCCTTTGCAGCGGCTTCTCATTGACTCTTGGCAGCATCCTGAACTCATTCAGTTGTCGATCCTCAGGTTGGGAGCACCTTGCTCCCTTACACTTACGACTTACTTGCAAGAAAGCGGGTCTTGTAAGGCTTGTACACAATCTTTTGAAGAAGTCTTTTTGCCTTCCCGGTGAGGAAACAGATGGGCCGTATATGTGCCCAGAGCCTTTTCGGGGCCAGACTGCACACCCCGGCCACGTTCATCGCGTTGCTGCAGCTTGTCAGGGAGAGAGAGCGCTTCATTGATTCTTTCGAGGTACAAAATAATGCTGAAGATATTTCAAAGGCTTTCTGTTCGAACCCTAGGAACGGATTGCCGAGTGGAAGAATGCAACTTGTTTGCACGAATGGCCTTCCAAAGCAGAGATGTGGAGATCAATCAAACACACTTTTGGTGGACTGACGTGACCAGAGTGCCTGTTCGACTTTGGTGCAGGTGGAACTTGGCGAAGTCATGGAGGCTACATGGTTGAGTACTGTGACGGTCTATGGTTTGAAATCGTCCAAAGACCCTAAAGGCTCCTAAGTCACCACCGCACCACACAACGTCGCCTGGAACCACAAGCTCCAGCACAAGCTCAGCACAAGCTCAGCTCGATGGGACCGTTTCAGTGGAAGAACATCTGGATTCTGGATTCACCAGTGAGCCTTTGCTGATAAGAAGCAGGAGAGCATGATGAGGTTTCTGTGACTTGCAACAGTTGCAGCCGTTGCAGCGCTTGCCGCGCTTCCTCTTGCTTCCTGGAATGTGCAAAATAGACAGCTTATGGTAGCTTCGAGGTGAGAAATTGTGGACTAGAACTTGCTGTTTGGCAACCCGTGTGCAGTGTACAGGATGTGTGGCTTGAAAAAGAGCGTGAGGTTTTGACCATTGGCAGCATTTTGAGACGCCACAATGGCCTGGTCTGCAATGATCCATGTTCTTTGCAGAGTCTTTGTGCTATCACCATGTGCAAAATATATACAGACGCTTTCAGGAGCTCAGGGAGGAGCTTCAATCTGAAAAGCTCATAGCTCAGTTTGCCTCAGGTTTCGTGGCAAGCTGGTTTACTTGTTGTAGTGGAAGTGGGAAGCTTGATTGCAGCATTTCTGTTTGCCTCCTCTCTGATAGAACGTGTGAAGTCAATGCTTCTAAATTGGATTTTGTCGAAGGCAAAGGTCCCTCCAGAACAGGGGAGAGGAGGTGCCTCACTGAATACATTATGAATACCACGTTCTATCCGGAAATCGAGCTTCCCATTATTCTCTTGCGTGTTGGCATTTCATCAATAATTTGACTTGTAGGTGTCTCAGCAAGAATTGGCACTGGTCAGAAGGTACTGCTGCCAAGTGTTTCGCTCGCAGCACGGGGCTATACTGTGGCAATTGTGAGAGTTCGTCCCTTCCCCTGGTGGCCTACTACTGATATGCCAGGCAAGTGATTGAACAGTCCAAGGTGGCCGAAGAGTCCCAGTCTTGAATGAGCCACAGCAGCTTGCTCCATTAAGCTTCTTGGCTGTCCTTGAGGCTGCTACACGTCAAGGATTCGCTGACTCTAGAGCTGACACAGCAGCAGAGCTCCTCACTTAGAACAAGATGACGTTGCTTTTCTTTCCACTGCATGGGCATAAATGCGTTGGCAAGTGAAGCCGTTGTATGCCAGTAGTCGAGTGCTCTGGGGACTTAAACGATTGTTGTATGCCAGTAGTCGAGTGCTCTGGGGACTTAAACGATTTGGATAAGCTTGGTTGCATCTGAA